GTGGGTGGGTGGGTGAGTGAGTGAGTGGGTGGGTGAGTGAGTGAGTGGGTGAGTGAGTGGGTGAGTGGGTTTGTGGATGGGTGAGTGATGGAGTGGGTGAGTGGGTGGGTGGGTGAGTGGGTGGGTGGGTGGATGGGTGAGTGAGTGGGTGAGTGAGTGGGTGGGTGAGTGGGTGGGTGGGTGGGTGGATGGGTGAGTGAGTGGGTGGGTGGGTGAGTGAGTGAGTGGGTGGGTGGATGGGTGAGTAATGGAGTGGGTGAGTGAGTGGGTGGGTGGGTGGGTGGATGGGTGAGTGAGTGGGTGGGTGGGTGAGTGAGTGAGTGGGTGGGTGGGTGGGTGAGTGAGTGAGTGGGTGAGTGAGTGAGTGAGTGAGTGAGTGAGTGGGTGAGTGGGTTTGTGGATGGGTGAGTGATGGAGTGGGTGAGTGGGTGGGTGGGTGAGTGGGTGGGTGGGTGGGTGGATGGGTGAGTGAGTGGGTGAGTGAGTGAGTGGGTGGGTGAGTGGGTGGGTGGATGAGTGAGTGAGTGGGTGAGTGGGTGGGTGGGTGAGTGGGTGGGTGGGTGGATGGGTGAGTGAGTGGGTGGGTGGATGGGTGGATGGGTGAGTGAGTGAGTGAGTGGGTGAGTGGGTGAGTGGGTGAGTGAGTGGGTGGGTGAATGGGTGAGTGAGTGGGTTGATGAGTAAGTGGGTGAGTGGGTGGATGAGTGAGTGAGTGGTTGAGTGCGTGGGTGAGTGGTTGAGTGAGTGGGTGAGTGAGTGGGTTGGTAAGTGGCTGAGTGAGTGGATGAGTGATTTAGTGAGTGGGTGAGTGAGTGGGTGGGTGAGTGAGTGGGTGGGGGTGTGAATGGGTGGGTGGATGAGTGAATGGGTGGGTGGGTGAGTGGGTGAGTGAGTGGGTGAGTGGGTGAGTGAGTGGGTGGGTGGGTGAGTGAGTGAGTGGGTGGGTGGGTGAGTGAGTGAGTGGGTGAGTGAGTGAGTGGGTGAGTGAGTGAGTGGGTGAGTGGGTTTGTGGTTGGGTGAGTGATGGAGTGGGTGAGTGGGTGGGTGGGAGAGTGGGTGGGTGGGTGGATGGGTGAGTGAGTGGGTGAGTGAGTGAGTGGGTGGGTGAGTGGGTGGGTGGATGAGTGAGTGAGTGGGTGAGTGGGTGGGTGGGTGAGTGGGTGGGTGGGTGGATGGGTGAGTGAGTGGGTGGGTGGATGGGTGGATGGGTGAGTGAGTGAGTGGGTGAGTGGTTGAGTGGGTGAGTGAGTGGGTGAGTGGGTGGGTGAATGGGTGAGTGAGTGGGTTGGTGAGTAAGTGGGTGAGTGGGTGGATGAGTGAGTGAGTGAGTGGTTGAGTGCGTGGGTGAGTGGTTGAGTGAGTGGGTGAGTGAGTGGTTTGGTAAGTGGCTGAGTGAGTGGGTGAGTGATTTAGTGAGTGGGTGAGTGAGTGGGTGGGTGAGTGAGTGGGTGGGGGTGTGAATGGGTGGGTGGATGAGTGAATGGGTGGGTGGGTGAGTGGGTGAGTGAGTGGGTGAGTGGGTGAGTGAGTGGGTGAGTGAGTGAGTTAGTGGGTAGGTGGGTGAGTGGGTGGGTGGGTGAGTGAGTATGTGGGTAAGTGTATGAGTGAGTGGGTGACTAAGTCGGTGAGTGAGTGAGTGGGTGGGTGGGTGAGTGGGTGGGTGGGTGGGTGGATGGGTGAGTGAGTGGGTGGGTGGGCGGGTGGGTGGGTGAGTTGGATGGGTGGGTGAGTGAGTGAGTGGGTGAGTGGGTGGGTGGGTGAGTGAGTTGGTGGGTGAATGGGTGAGTCAGTAGGTTGGTGAGTAAGTGGCTGAGTGGGTGGGTGAGTGGGTGAGCGGTTGAGTGCGTGGGTGAGTGGTTGAGTGAGTGGGTGAGTGAGTGGGTTGGTAAGTGGCTGAATGAGAGGGTGAGTGATTTAGTGAGTGGGTGAGTGAGTGGGTGGGTGAGTAAGTGGATGGGTGAGTGAATGGGTGAGTGAATGGGTGGGTGGGTGAGTGGGTGAGTGAGTGGGTGAGTGATTTAGTGAGTGGGTGAGTGAGTGGGTGGGTGAGTGAGTGGGTGGGTGAGTGAATGGATGAGTGAATGGGTGGGTGGGTGAGTGGGTGAGTGAGTGGGTGAGTGATTTAGTGAGTGGGTGAGTGAGTGGGTGGGTGAGTGAGTGGGTGGGTGAGTGAATGGATGAGTGAATGGGTGGGTGGGCGAGTGGGTGAGTGAGTGGGTGAGTGGGTGAGTGAGTGGGTGAGTGGTGAGTGAATGGGTGAGTGAGTGAGTTAGTGGGTGGGTGAGTGGGTGGGTGGGTGGTTGGGTGGATGGGTGGGTGGGTGAGTGAGTGTGTGGGTAAGTGAATGAGTGAGTGGGTGAGTGGGTGAGTTGGTGAGTGAGTGAGTGTGTGGGTGGATGGGTTGGTGAGTGAGTGCGTGCGTGGGTGAGTGAGTGATTAAATGGGTGAGTGGGTGTGTAAGTAGGTGTGTGGGTGAGTGTGTGAGTGAGTGGACGAGTGAGTAAATGAGTGAGTAGGTTAATGGATGTGTGAGTAGGTGTGTGGGTGAGTGGGTGAGTGTGTGAGTGAGTGGGTGAGTGTGTGAGTGGACGAGTGAGTAAATGAGTGAGTAAGTTAGTGGGTGTGTGAGTGGGTGTGTGCATGAATGGGCAGATGAGTGAGCGAGCAAACGGGCGAGTGAGCGTGATACTGTGACCTGTGGTGTTGGAGTGATGTGGTACACGAGGATGTGGAGCTGAGTGGACTTGCCGATGACCGGTGCCAGTCATCGTCAAGATCGGCCTCTGTGGAGGAGGCTCGTGAAGGACGCTGCTGGGCAGTTGGAGGCAGTCGCCCTCCAACAACAACGGAGGGCAGAGGAGCGAAGCTCACAACAATGAGCGGAGCGCCGGGCGGCTACCTCTAGTCCCACCTCTAGTCCCACCTCTAGTCACACCTCTAGTTCTACCTCTAGTCCCACCTCTAGTCCTACCTCTAGTCCCACCTCTAGTCCCACCTCTAGTCCTACCTCTAGTCCTACCTCTAGTCCCACCTCTAGTCCTACCTCTAGTCCTACCTCTAGTCCCACCTCTAGTCCCATCTCTAGTCCTACCTCTAGTCCCACCTCTAGTCCTACCTCTAGTCCCACCTCTAGTCCCATCTCTAGTCCCACCTCTAGTCCTACCTCTAGTCCTACCTCTAGTCCCATCTCTAGTCCCACCTCTAGTCCTACCTCTAGTCCTACCTCTAGTCCTACCTCTAGTCCTATCTCTAGTTCCACCTCTAGTCCCACCTCTAGTCCCATCTCTAGTCCCACCTCTAGTCCCACCTCTAGTCCCACCTCTAGTCCCACCTCTAGTCCCATCTCTAGTCCTACCTCTAGTCCTACCTCTAGTCCCATCTCTAGTCCTACCTCTAGTCCCATCTCTAGTCCCACCTCTAGTCCCACCTCTAGTCCTACCTCTAGTCCCATCTCTTGTCCCATCTCTAGTCCTACCTCTAGTCCCATCTCTAGTCCCATCTCTAGTCCTACCTCTAGTCCCATCTCTAGTCCTACCTCTAGTCCTACCTCTAGTCCCATCTCTAGTCCCACCTCTAGTCCTACCTCTAGTCCTACCTCTAGTCCCATCTCTAGTCCCACCTCTAGTCCTATCTCTAGTCCTACCTCTAGTCCCACCTCTAGTCCCATCTCTAGTCCCATCCCTAGTCCCACCTCTAGTCCCACCTCTAGTCCTACCTCTAGTCCCACCTCTAGTCCCATCTCTAGTCCCACCTCTAGTCCCACCTCTAGTCCCACCTCTAGTCCCATCTCTAGTCCTACCTCTAGTCCTACCTCTAGTCCCATCTCTAGTCCCATCTCTAGTCCTACCTCTAGTCCTACCTCTAGTCCTACCTCTAGTCCTATCTCTAGTCCCACCTCTAGTCCCACCTCTAGTCCCAACTCTAGTCCCACCTCTAGTCCCACCTCTAGTCCCACCTCTAGTCCCACCTCTAGTCCCATCTCTAGTCCTACCTCTAGTCCTACCTCTAGTCCCACCTCTAGTCCCATCTCTAGTCCTACCTCTAGTCCCACCTCTAGTCCCACCTCTAGTCCCATCTCTAGTCCTACCTCTAGTCCCGTCTCTAGTCCCATCTCTAGTCCCACCTCTAGTCCTACCTCTAGTCCTACCTCTAGTCCCACCTCTAGTCCCATCTCTAGTCCCATCTCTAGTCCCATCTCTAGTCCTACCTCTAGTCCCACCTCTAGTCCCATCTCTAGTCCCATCTCTAGTCCTACCTCTAGTCCCATCTCTAGTCCTACCTCTAGTCCTACCTCTAGTCCTATCTCTAGTCCCATCTCTAGTCCCATCTCTAGTCCCACCTCTAGTCCTACCTCTAGTCCTACCTCTAGTCCCATCTCTAGTCCCACCTCTAGTCCTACCTCTAGTCCTACCTCTAGTCCTACCTCTAGTCCTATCTCTAGTCCCACCTCTAGTCCCACCTCTAGTCCCATCTCTAGTCCCACCTCTAGTCCCACCTCTAGTCCCACCTCTAGTCCCACCTCTAGTCCCATCTCTAGTCCTACCTCTAGTCCTACCTCTAGTCCCATCTCTAGTCCTACCTCTAGTCCCATCTCTAGTCCCACCTCTAGTCCCACCTCTAGTCCTACCTCTAGTCCCATCTCTTGTCCCATCTCTAGTCCTACCTCTAGTCCCATCTCTAGTCCCATCTCTAGTCCTACCTCTAGTCCCATCTCTAGTCCTACCTCTAGTCCTACCTCTAGTCCCATCTCTAGTCCCACCTCTAGTCCTACCTCTAGTCCTACCTCTAGTCCCATCTCTAGTCCCACCTCTAGTCCTATCTCTAGTCCTACCTCTAGTCCCACCTCTAGTCCCATCTCTAGTCCCATCTCTAGTCCCACCTCTAGTCCCACCTCTAGTCCTACCTCTAGTCCCACCTCTAGTCCCATCTCTAGTCCCACCTCTAGTCCCACCTCTAGTCCCACCTCTAGTCCCATCTCTAGTCCTACCTCTAGTCCTACCTCTAGTCCCATCTCTAGTCCCATCTCTAGTCCTACCTCTAGTCCTACCTCTAGTCCTACCTCTAGTCCTATCTCTAGTCCCACCTCTAGTCCCACCTCTAGTCCCATCTCTAGTCCCACCTCTAGTCCCACCTCTAGTCCCACCTCTAGTCCCATCTCTAGTCCTACCTCTAGTCCTACCTCTAGTCCCACCTCTAGTCCCATCTCTAGTCCTACCTCTAGTCCCACCTCTAGTCCCACCTCTAGTCCCATCTCTAGTCCTACCTCTAGTCCCGTCTCTAGTCCCATCTCTAGTCCCACCTCTAGTCCTACCTCTAGTCCTACCTCTAGTCCCACCTCTAGTCCCATCTCTAGTCCCATCTCTAGTCCCATCTCTAGTCCTACCTCTAGTCCCACCTCTAGTCCCATCTCTAGTCCCATCTCTAGTCCTACCTCTAGTCCCATCTCTAGTCCTACCTCTAGTCCTACCTCTAGTCCCATCTCTAGTCCCATCTCTAGTCCTACCTCTAGTCCCACCTCTAGTCCCACCTCTAGTCCTATCTCTTGTCCCATCTCTAGTCCTACCTCTAGTCCTACATGTAGTCCTCTAGTCCTCTAGTCCTCTATTACTACCTCTAGTCCTCTAGTCCTACCTCTAGTCCTCTAGTCCTACATGTAGTCCTCTAGTCCTCTAGTACTACCTCTAGTCCTACACGTCCACACGACAAATCAAGGATATCCAGCCATGCAGATGTCCAGTAAAGGGCCACGCGGTCAGAGCGTTCCAACAACAAACACAAAAACGCGATAGGAGTGCAAAGCAAATGAAATGTAAACAAATCACCCTGATAAATATCTTCAAATCAAACTAAACAATGTTTTTATCTGACAACTGACCGATTTGGCTTCTTTTTCCCTCCCCTCCCTCATTCCCTCCCTCCCTCCCCCCTCTCTCACCCTCACTCCCCACCTCCCCTCCCCTCCCTCCCATCTCTCCATCTTCTGGCACGGTAATGTGGAATTTCCACACACTCCACCAGTGCAATCGCCACCACACTGTGAATGTCGGAAGATAGTCGCCACTCGCCTAAAGGTACGAACGGTAAGAATGCGGTTTTTACCCCTCGCTCTTTGATTCTTTCGCTAAAGTCACGTAGATAGAATATTAACGGATCACGACTTTCCGATCGCAACGCAACCAACCGTCGTCAGCAGGAGAACTGCTGACGCAGGAGAAAGAGCTGGTTGCAGAACCAAAGTTTATGGATTCCTGCAGCCACGAAAGCTTCAAATCAAGACTTTTTCATTTTTACCCCTTCTAGCAAATGAGTTGTGCTAAGTTTTTCAAACACCAAATTGAAACGTTTTGCAAGGAATCAGGTTCATGCGTTAACCACACACACACAGAAGTACTTTGCGGTGAACATACAAACACAAACGTGGCTCTGATACTAACGTGCGTGATGCCTCGTCTTTGAGACTGATTGGCCTGCAGCAGACACAGCAGCAGCGGGCTTCTTCAGGGCCAAGCATCACCATCAGTGTCAGACCAGAGAATGAAGCCACAAGGCGAACAGGACAAGGGCAATGCCACACACGTGTCGGAGCGTTTATAGCTCGCGGCGCGCAGCAGCTACCATCATGGGATACATTTCTTTGTCAGTATGAAAATAGGGAATAGGTAACACAGGGGTTGTGTTAATCCCATGTATTATTATATATTATTATATTATCATCAGAGCCACGTTTGTTTGAATGTTCACCACAAGTGCCGTGTTGTGGTCAATGCAGTAACTCGATTCCTTGGTAAAAGGCATCAAGTTGGTGTCTGAACATCTTAACACAACTGCTGTCTTCTTGTCAGGAAGATTAAAAACCCTATTCTTACATTTGTTATACATTCTTTTGATACTGGCACAAAAGGTTTATATTTGGTGTTTGGACATCTTAACTAAACTCGTGTTTTATTGCCAGGAGGGGTAAACCACCAATGATTATTTTTCATTCTTTTGATACTGGCATTTCCGCCGAGCAGGCGATAGAGCCTTTTAAAATAAAAATATATATAACATATTTATGTAACAAACATTGACAGCCGGTGGGTTTTATTGAAATATCTGTAAATTTAAAAAACGTTGTTCTTCCGTGGTGGTGTTTTTCCTTTTCGTTTTTTTTTTATTCAAAAGACGAACAAGAAATATGACATTTGCCTAGCAATGTTGCGTCCTGCACACAAATCCAGCCCCTCTCCCTCCCTTCCCCATCTCTCTCCTCTGACCTCCCCCACCACAATCCCCACCCACCCACCACTCACCATCCATCCCCACCACCTACCCACCACCCCCACCATCCCCACGACTCACCCACCACCCCCACCAACCACCACCACCCACCCACCACCAACACCCCTCCTCCCCACCACCACCACCCCCTCTCCCCACCAACATTCACGCCACGCTATCCGCAGCTGCTGCCCCAAGCCACGAACATCTGCTGCTTGCAAGAGACGTCGACGGTCTGGTTTTGTTGTGCGCTTTTAATTCCCCGAGTGTGTGTGTGTCTCTGAGTGTGTGTGTGTCTCTGAGTGTGTGTGGCTCTGAGTGTGTGTGTGTGTCTGAGTGTGTGTGTGTCTCTGAGTGTGTGTGTCTCTGAGTGTGTGTGTCTCTGAGTGTGTGTGTCTCTGAGTGTGTGTGTCTCTGAGTGTGTGTGTGTGTCTCTGAGTGTGTGTGTGTGTGCGTCTCTGAGTGTGTGTGTGTGTGTCTCTGAGTATGTGTGTGTGTCTCTGAGTGTGTGTCTCTCTCTGAGCGTGTGTGTGTCTCTCTGAGTGTGTGTGTGTCTCTGAGTGTGTGTGTGTGTCTCGTGTGTGTGTGTCTATGAGTGTGTGTGTGTGTCTCTGAGTGTGTCTCTCTCTGAGTGTGTGTGTGCGTGTCTCTGAGTGTTTGTGTCTCTGAGTGTGTGTGTGTGTGTCTCTGAGTGTGTGTGTGTGTCTCTGAGTGTTTGTGTCTCTGAGTGTGTGTGTGTCTCTGAGTGTGTGCGTCTCTCAGTCCCGTGTGTGTCTGTGTGTGTCTCTGAGTGTGTGTGTCTGAGTGTGTGTGTGCCTCTGAGTGTGTGTGTGTATGTGTGTGTGTCTCTGAGTGTGTGTGTCTGAGTGTGTGTGTGTGTCTCTGAGTGTGTGTCTGAGTGTGTGTCTCTCTCTGAGTATGTGTGTGTGTCTCTGAGTGTGTGTCTCTCTCTGAGTGTGTGTGTGTCTCTGAGTGTGTGTGTGTCTCTGAGTGTGTGTGTGTGCGTCTCTGAGTGTGTGTGCGTGTGTCTCTGAGTGTGTGTGTGTGTCTCTCTGAATGTGTGTCTCTCTCTGAGTGTGTGTGTCTCTCTCTGAGTGTGTGTGTGTCTCTGAGTGTGTGTGTGTCCCGTGTGTGTGTGTCTATGAGTGTGTGTGTGTGTGTCTCTGAGAATGTGTGTGTCTCTGAGTGTTTGTGTCTCTGAGTGTTTGTGCCTCTGAGTGTGTGTGTGTGTCTCTGAGTGTTTGTGTCTCTGAGTGTGTTTGTGTCTCTGAGTGTGTTTGTGTCTCTGAGTGTGTGTGTCTCTCCGAGTGTGTGTGTCTCTGAGTGTGTGTGTCTCTCTCTGAGTGTTTGTGTCTCTGAGTGTTTGTGTCTCTGGGGAGCGATAGTGTAGCGGTTAGCGCGCTGCGCTATGAACCTGGCGACCCGGGTTCGATTCCCGCTCACGGCCAACACCAGTGACGATTATCTGAACCGGTCCCGGGCCTCCCCTAGGTCGACTCAGCCTCAAATGAGTACCTGGTGCGATGTGTAAACATCGCCACTAGGGAGACAAAGGCGGTCGGGCGTGGTGCTGGCCACCCACCCCCTCGTGTACCGTTTCGGCCTTCATAGGTGCTCGCTAACAGCACTTGCCCCTACAGTCTGTTACAGGCTATATGGGGGATCTTTGTCTTTGTGTCTATCTCTGAGTGTGTGCGTCTCTCAGTCCCGTGTGTCTCTGAGTTTGTGTCTAAGTGTCTGTGTCTCTCTCTGAGTATGTGTGTGTGTCTCTGAGTGTGTGTGTGTCTCTCTCTGAGTGTGTGTGTGTGTCTCTCTGAGTGTGTGTGTCGAAACAGCTTTTGTTCGGCCGGATCGAGGGGGCTAAACGGGCGCGGCACGGGCTAGAGACGAGATGGAGTGATGTGGTACAGGAGGACGTGGAGCTGAGTGGACTTGCCGATGACTGGTACCAGCGGTGTCAAGATCGGCCTCTGTGGAGGAGGCTCGTGAAGGACGCTACTGGGCAGTTGGAGGCAGTCGCCCTCCAACAACAACGGAGGGCTGAGGAGCGACGCTCACAACAACGAGCGGAGCGCCAGGTGGCTAAAGCACAGTAGGTTGGCACAGTAGGGGGCACAGGTGGTGCATCAGCCAGTCATCTCAGTCAGTCGACCCGTGGCACCTGGGTCTGCCCCGCGACCTCCTGCCAGCGGAAGTTCGACACTTCACGTGGCCTCAAGGTGCACATGGCCTGGCACAAGCGTCGTGGTGACGTCACCGCCACTTAGTGGCGAATGGCGGTTGTTGTTGTGTGTGTCTCTCTCTGAGTGTGTGTGTGTGTCTGTGTGTGTGTCTCTCTGAGTGTGTGTTTGTGTCTCTGAGTGTGTGTGTGTCTCTGAGTGTTTGTGTCTCTGAGTGTTTGTGTCTCTGAGTGTGTGTGTGTCTCTGAGTGTGTTTGTGTTTCTGAGTGTGTGTGTGTCTCTGAGTGTGTGTGTGTCTCTGAGTGTGTGTGTCTCTTGTCAACGCAACCTTGCTTGCCGGAGGAGCTCACCGATGGGACCTTGCCCAGATCTTTCAAAGATTGGTTAGCTCCTCACACAATCCAGTCTGGTTAAACCCAGGATGGATCGTAGGCAGGCTAGCCTAAATGTTTCTAATCGGCGAAGATGTTCCATTAAGGGGGTCCACGTTTCGCAAGCGTAGAGAAGGGAGGGAATGACCGTGGCCGAGAAGACCTGAAGCTTAGTGCGGAGCGACAGACCAGGTAGCTTCCACACAGCGTTACGCAACCGATGAAAATATATTGCCGCTCGACTGATTCGGAGTGAGACCTCTGCTGTTAAACTGGAGCCGGTCATAAGCACACTGCCCAGGTATGGGAAACTCTCCACTCTCTCCACAACTGCCCCATCACCGATTAGGAGTTGTGGGGGTGGAGTGTCCGATGGTACAAAATACCCAGGCAGGTGCTTAGTTTTGGTGGGGCTGATGGTAAGGCCCGATCTCTTAGTGACACGCTCATGGGTCATGTAGCCCGCATGCCCAGCCACCGCATGCCGATACAGCTTTTGTTCGGCCAGATCGAGGGGGCTAAACGGGCGCGGCACGGGCTAGAGAAGAGATGGAGTGATGTGGTACAGGAGGACGTGGAGCTGAGTGGACTTGCCGATGACTGGTACCAGCGGTGTCAAGATCGGCCTTTTTGGAGGAGGCTCGTGAAGGACGCTACTGGGCAGTTGGAGGCAGTCGCCCTCCAACAACAACAGAGGGCGGAGGAGCGACGCTCACAACAACGAGCGGACCGCCAGGTGGCTAAAGCACAGCAGGTTGGCACAGTAGGGGGCACAGGTGGTGCATCAGCCAGTCATCTCAGTCATCTTAGTCAGTCGACCCATGGCACTTGGGTCTGCCCCGTGACCTCCTGCCCGCGAGCGTTCGACACTTTACGTGGCCTCAAGGTGCACATGGCCTGGCACAAGCGTCGTGGTGACGTCACCGCCACTTAGTGGCGAATGGCGGTTGTTGTTGCGTCTCTTGTGGGGAGCGGTAGTGTAGCGGTTAGCGCTACGCTGCGCTACGAACTCGGCGTCCCGAGTTCGATTCCCGCTCACGGCCAACACCGGTGACGATTATCTGAACCGGTCCTGGGCCTCCCCCTTGGTCGACTCAGCCTCAAATGAATACCTGGTGCAATGTGTAAACGTCGCCACTGAGGGAGACAAAGACGGCCGGGCGTAGTGCTGGCCACCCACCCCCTCGTGTGCCGTGCCGGCCTTCATAGGTGTTGCTCGCTAACAGCACTTGCCCCAACAGTCTGTTACAGGCTACACGGGGGATCTTTGTCTTCGTGTGTGTATGTGTGTAATGGCGCATCTACAACGGCGTGAGGAATGTATTCCATTCCTACTGATGTCAGCCATGGCTAGAGAGGATATCCGAGGTAGCTCTGTGAGATATGCGTCTGCTAGCCACAGCAAACGTCAGGACTGTGTCTGCGCCCTCAATTAGGTCGGAGCAGCCCTAAATCAGAACTCAACAGGGACTTAAAACTGTAAACTATGTAAAAACTATCTTTTTTTATTTTCCGACCTGGCCACAAATGATAGGTCAACCAGGTGGCTTTTGGCATCACCACCACCATCGTGTAAATATATGCAGCAGCCAAAATGCTCTGAACGCGTGCTGTTGATTATAAAAGGTGGGACGAAATGAACAACTATTTAAAACTCTTCAATATTTTACCAGGCAAGGCCCACTGAGCTACGTAGCTATTTTTTCAGAAGCGACCTGGCCAACACAAAGCATATCTCAAACCAAGTGGGCTCGTCGTTGTCACCATCATCGTCACCATCATCGTCACGTGGAAATGTCCAGCCAGCAGCCCGAATCCTCTCAACGCGTCATGTTGATTAGGAATTTGGAGGAAGGACCCGGAGAGAAATCCACGCGCCCACGGGGAGAGAGAGAGAGAGAGACACGCAAACTCTAAATTATACAGCAGCAGGCGTCAGGGTCGGGATCGAACCCACGACCTCCTGTACACCAGGCGAGGTGTTTAACATCTCCTAGCCACCGTGATGATGATGAGAGAGAGACACCGCAAACTCTAAATTATACAGCAGCAGGCGTCAGGGATGTGATCGAACCTACGACCTCCTGTACACCAGGCGAGGTGGTTAATATCTCCTAGCCACCGTGATGATGATGAGAGAGAGACACCGCAAACTCTAAATTATACAGCAGCAGGCGTCAAGGTTGTGATCGAACCCACGACCTCCTGTACACCAGGCGAGGTGGTTAACATCTCCTAGCCCCCGTGATGATGATGAGAGAGAGACACCGCAAACTCTAAATTATACAGCAGCAGATGTCAAGGAGCCAAGACCTCCTGTATACCAGGAGGTGTTTACCACGGGAGTCCAGTTCACCATTGAATTCCAGTTCACCATGGAAGTCCAGTTCACTATGGAATTCCAGTTTACCATGGAAGTCCAGTTCACCATGTAAGTCCAGTTTAGCATGGGAGTCCAGTTCACCATGGGAGTCGAGTTCACCATGGAATTCCAATTCACCACGGGAGTCCAGTTCACTATGGAATTCCAGTTCATCATGGAAGTTCAGTTCACTATGGAATTCCAGTTCATCATGGAAGTCCAGTTCACTATGGAATTCCAGTTTACCATGGAAGTTCAGTTCACTATGGAATTCCAGTTCACCGTGGAAGTCCAGTTCACCATGGAAGTCCAGTTCACTATGGAAGTCCAGTTTAGCATGGAAGTTCAGTTTACTATGGAATTCCAGTTTACCATGGAAGTTCAGGTCATCATGGGAGTCCATTTCACCATGGAATTCCAGTTCACCATAGAATTCCACTTCACCATGGAATTCCAGTTCACAATGGAAGTCCAGTTCACCGTCTCTCGTGCTCACCACACGTGCGTGGCGCGGCTCTTGAAACATCGCAGTTATTTGTGTTGTTGTTGTTACCGAATTCAAAAAAGCAAACGGGGCTCTTGTTGTTGTTTTGGTTGCTCCCAGTCAAAGCCCTCCCACCTCTCTCTCTCGCCTCTCATCTGTCCGTGTTGTTTTAACTTCAAACCAAGGTAGGAATGCAGTGGTGGGTGGGGGAGCCAGCACCACCCTCATCAACCCCCACCACCACAACCACAACCACCACCACCCCCACCACCCTCACCACCACCCACACCACCACCTCCACCACAACCACCACCACCCCCACCACCCTCACCACCACCCACACCACCACCCCCACCACAACCACCGCCACCCCCACCACCCTCACCACCACCCACACCACCACCCCCACCACAACCACCGCCACCACCACCCCCACCACCACTACCCACACCACTATCACACCCACCACAACCACCACCACCCCCACCACCCTCATCAACCCCCACCACCACCACCCCCACCACAACCACCACCACCACCACCACCACCCTCACCACCACCCACACCACCACCCCCACCACAACCACCATCACCCCCACCACCACCATTCCCATCACCACCATCCCCACAACCACCACCACCCCCACCACCACCCCCACAATCACTACAACCCCCACCACCACCACCCCCACAACCACCACAACCCCCACCACCCCCACCACCACCCCCACCACCACCCCCACCACCACCCCCACCACAGCCACCACCACCCTCACCACCACCACCCACACCAACACCACCACCACAACCACCACTACTCCCACAACCACCACAACCCCCACCACCACCCCCACTACCACCACCCCCCCACCCACCACCACCCCCACCACCACCACCCCCACCACAACTACCCCCACCACCCCCACCACCCCCACCATCACCCCTCCTCCTCCCTCCTCCTCCTCCGGGTCTGCGAGCACACAAACCTTTCGTGAGCAGTGCCTGCTATTGTTGGTGCCGCGTTGGTTTGCTGCTGCTGCTGCTGCTGTTGTTGTTGTTCTAAGATTGTGGCCGGCGTGGGAATGAACACAGATTTTACTCTTCGCACGCTATGCGGGTTGGGTTTGTGCGATTTTAAACACTGTGAACTATTTTCATCTGCAACTGGTTGCAAGGCCCACTGAGCTTATTCAAGTATAATGACAAATTGACAGACTTCTCTTGAGATGGCACTTTATTTAATGCAAGTTCCACTTGACACCAGGCGGAGAAACCCACTGCAACAGCCCCGAGTCTCCCGCGTATCTCCCGTTTATATACCGACTCGAGGCCACGCCCCCTTTCTCGATCATTCTCGCCGACTCTGGACGCTCGCTGCAACGGCAGACTCCACCGGCCTCTTCCGTCACCTGACCATGCTCTCTTCTCGATCATTCCCCGAGCCACCGGTCCCTTCGCACTCACAACTGACTCCCCTGTCATTACCTCCCATGGCCACCAGTCCCTTCACCCAACACAACTGACTCCCCTGTCATTACCTCCCGTGGCCACCAGTCCCTTCGCACTCACAACTGACCCTGCCTGTCATTACCTCCCGTGGCCACTGGTTCCTTCGCACTCTCAACTGACTCCCCTGTCCTTACCTCCCGTGGCCACCAGTCCCTTCCCACTCACAACTGACTCCCCTGTCATTACCACCCATTGCAACTAGTCCCTTCACCCTCTCAACTGACTCCCCTGTAATTACCTCCCGTGGCCACCAGTCCCTTCGCACTCACAACTGACTCCCCTGTCATTACTTCCCGTGGCCATCAGTCCCTTCGCACTCACAACTGATACCCCTGTCATTACCTCCCGTGGCCACCAGTCCCTTCACACTCACAACTGACTCCCTTGTCATTACCTCCCGTGGCCACCAGTCCCTTCGCACTCACAACTGATACCCCAGTCATTACCTCCCGTGGCCACCAGTCCCTTCGCCCTCACAACTGACTCCCCTGGCATTACCTCCCGTGGCCACCAGTCCCTTCACACTCACAACTGACTCCCTTGTCATTACCTCCCGTGGCCACCAGTCCCTTCGCACTCACAACTGATACCCCAGTCATTACCTCCCGTGGCCACCAGTCCCTTCGCACGCACAGCTGATTCCCCTGTCATTACCTCCCGTGGCCACCAGTCCCTTTGTACCCACAACTGACTCCCCTGTCATTACCTCCCGTGGCCACGAGTCCCTTCACACTCACAACTGACTCCCCTGTCATTACCACCCATTGCCACCAGTCCCTTCGCACTCACAACTGACTCCCCTGTCATTACCTCCCGGGGCCATCAGTCCCTTCGCACTCACAACTGATACCCCAGTCATTACCTCCCGTGGCCACCAGTCCCTCCGGACTCACAACTGACTCCCCTGGCATTACCTCCCGTGGCCACCAGTCCCTTCACCCTCACAACTGACTCCCCTGTCATTACCTCCTGTGGCCACCAGTTCCTTCGCACTCACAACTGATACCCCAGTCATTACCTCCCGTGGCCACCAGTCCCTTCGCACTCACAGCTGATTCCCCTGTCATTACCTCCCGTGGCCACCAGTCCCTTCGCACTCACAGCTGACTCCCCTGTCATTACCTCCCGTGGCCAACAGTCCCTTCGCACTCACAACTGACTCCCCTGTCTTTACCTCCCATTGGCCACCGGTCCCTTCGCACTCACAACTGACTCCCCTGGCATTACCTCCTGTGGCCACCAGTCCCTTCGCACTCACAACTGACTCCCCTGGCATTACCTCCCGTGGCCACCAGTCCCTTCGCACTCACAACTGACTCCCCTGTCATTACCTCCCGTGGCCACCAGTCCCTTCACACTCACAACTGACTCCCCTGTCATTACCTCCCGTGGTCACTAGTCCCTTCGCACTCACAACTGATACTCCAGTCATTACCTCCCGTGGCCACCAGTCCCTTCGCACTCACAGCTGATTCCCCTGTCATTACCTCCCGTGGCCACCAGTCCCTTTGTACTCACAACTGACTCCCCTGTCATTACCTCCCGTGGCCACGAGTCCCTTCACACTCACAACTGACTCCCCTGTCATTACCACCCATTGCCACCAGTCCCTTCGCACTCACAACTGACTCCCCTGTCATTACCTCCCGTGGCCATCAGTCCCTTCGCACTCACAACTGATACCCCAGTCATTACCTCCCGTGGCCACCAGTCCCTTCGCACTCACAACTGACTCCCCTGGCATTACCTCCCGTGGCCACCAGTCCCTTCACCCTCACAACTGACTCCCCTGTCATTACCTCCTGTGGCCACCAGTCCCTTCGCACTCACAACTGATACCCCAGTCATTACCTCCCGTGGCCACCAGTCCCTTCGCACTCACAGCTGATTTTCCTGTCATTACCTCCCGTGGCCACCAGTCCCTTCGCACTCACAGCTGACTCCCCTGTCATTACCTCCCGTGGCCACCAGTCCCTTCGCACTCACAGCTGACTCCCCTGTCATTACCTCGCGTGGCCAACAGTCCCTTCGCACTCACAACTGACTCCCCTGTCTTTACCTCCCATTGCCCACCGGTCCCTTCGCACTCACAACTGACTCCCCTGGCATTACCTCCTGTGGCCACCAGTCCCTTCGCACTCACAACTGACTCCCCTGGCATTACCTCCCGTGGCCACCAGTCCCTTCGCACTCACAACTGACTCCCCTGTCATTACCTCCCGTGGCCAACAGTCCCTTCGCACTCACAACTGATACCCCAGTCATTACCTCCCGTGGCCACCAGTCCCTTCACCCTCACAACTGACTCCCCTGTCATTACCTCCCGTGGCCACCAGTCCCTTCGCACTCACAACTGACTCCCCTGTCATTACCTCCCGTGGCCACTAGTCCCTTCGCACTCACAACTGACTCCCCTGGCATTACCTCCCGTGGCCACTAGTCCCTTCGCACTCACAACTGACTCCCCTGGCATCACCTCCAGTGGCCACCAGTCCCTTCACACTCACAACTGACTCCCCTGGCATTACCTCCCGTGGCCACTAGTCCCTTCGCACTCACAACTGACTCCCCTGGCATTACCTCCCGTGGCCACCAGTCCCTTCGCACTCACAACTGACTCGCCTGGCATTACCTCCCGTGGCCACGAGTCCCTTCACACTCACAACTGACTCCCCTGTCATTGCCACCCATTGCCACCAGTCCCTTCGCACTCACAACTGACTCCCCTGTCATTACCTCCCGTGGACACCAGTCCCTTCACACTCACAACTGACTCCCCTGTCATTACCTCCCGTGGCCACCAGTCCCTTCGCACTCACAACTGACTCCCCTGTCATTACCTCCCGTGGCCACCAGTCCACATGCAGGCTCTATTGGCATTACACAAGTATAGCTCTTTGGTTTTTCAGACGCGACCTGGCCATCGCAAATGATAGCTCATACAAAGTGGACTCGTCATCGTTATCATCATCGTCGTCGTGTGGATATTTATACCAGCAACCAAAAACTCTAAACGTGTGAGTGTAAAGTGTAAGGAAAAGTTCAACAAACGCTGCTATTAGTAGCGAGTAGCAGCACCTACACACACACAGACAAATATCCCAGTTTAGCCTCCAGCGGGGCTGTAGGGGCAAGTGCTGCTACTAACAGCAGCACTTGCCCCTACAGAAATAAATGCACGAAAAGTTTACCGTCAATATTTTCTTAACCTATTGGTCCATTTCGTGGGGTTGCATATCCCTCGCTTAGCTAAGTGACCGCAAGTGAATAACAAATCCTTCATGAGAATAAGAATTTAAACGGACGAGTCCTGCCGCGCGTAAGGCAAGTTACTCTCGGAAACCCACAATTCTTTTTCACGATCGATGAGTTTCTAACAGTTATTTTTTTTACCCTTCTAGATTATCGCGTGGATTTGTTGAATGTTATCGTTGTTATTTTACATTGGCGGATTACATACAACACGATTATTCAACAATGACCTTTCACGCACGATATCATAGCACCCTTCTCACGTACCCCCCCCCCCCTCCCCTCTGGGATAATGTCCACGCGTACCCCCTAGATGTCCGTGTACTCCCCCTGGACATTGCCACGCCTACCCCCCCAGATGTCTGCGTACCCCCCAGCGAGATTTCCACGTGTGGCCCCCAGAGATCCGCGTACCCCCCTTGGACATTACCCACATGTACCCCCCCCCCCCCCACAGGCATCCGCATACCCCCCTGGGACATTGGACATTGGCCACGTGTACCCCCCAGGGATCTGCGTACCCCCCCCCCCTCCGCCCCCGTGGTTGAGAACCGCCGCTGTACAGGGGCGCCAGACTCTCACGTCGTGCCGCGACATCTCCTGGGTGCCTGGTGCTTTGGGAGAAGGAGTTTCCTTATTTGTTGTTATCTCAGCCACCTGAAATTCCATAATTGGCCTAAAGCGGCGGGCTGCGCATTTCTGGGGCTGATGGGGATCACAGAGGCCACCGGTCAAAGGTCAGGAGGAGAGGTCAGAGTTTGTTGCCAGGTGAGGATTAGAGGGGCAACTCTTGTGATGGACATCCCCCACCATGCCCCGCCCCAACACTGTGGGAGAGAGGGGCTGTGAGTCCTGGACGTTCATTGAACTTCTTTCGCCGCCGTACCTAGCCCACCGTGCTAATCGGAGGTGCAGTGTTGAGTCTATGGGCAGTGTTGAGTCTATGGGCAGTG